GCTTCAAGAACATGTCACCATAAAAAGTTATGTTGCAGGATATTGTATCATAGTGTTACCTAGTTCTGAGGCAGGGAGGGGCATCCTTTAAGATCAAGGTTTCTCTGGCAAATTAACATTGTAGCTTCAGGTGTATCCAGCCTCAAATTGAAAATTGAATTCTGAGCACTTTGGGGTGGATTACACCCTCCTGTGACTCCAGCTCCAGTAGATTCAACTCATTTTTTTGGCCTCCTTAGGCACCAGCAGACATGTACACACAGAGTCACATGTATGCATTTACAAAAAATAAAGTTTAATAGGGTATGGTGGTGCATGCCTTTAATATTAGTAGTCAGGAGGCAGAGGAGGTGGATCTCTGTGAGTTCAAGGCCAGCCTGGTCTACAGAGTTTGTTCCAGGACAGCCAGGACTACATAGAAAGATCTATCTAAAAAAAAAGATTAATACAAAAAATAAAAATAAAATAATAATAAAAAAAGACAGTCTAAAAAGTTTAATACAATTTTTACAAAAGGGTTACTGAGTAAAAAAGTACTTACTGACAAAACAAAAAACAAAAACAAAAAAACAGCGAGTAGAGTCTTGAACTAATGACTACAAAGGGACAAAAACCACCATAAATGTCTGAAGACCCCTTTCAAACAATTACAGAAAGCTGGCAGTATAAGGGGGATCGATTGTGGAAGTGACAGGGAATACTCAGAGGGAGAAGGGGAAAAAGGGAGGATGATGGCAGATGAAATATGACAAAATATGACTTATGAAAAGATTTTGAAGAAAAACAACCTTTTGGATTGATAACCATGCAAAAATAATTTAAAGAATACATTTATTTAAGGAATACATTTTTAGCTCTGGAGACAGAGGCAGGAGATGTCTATGATTTTGAGGCCAGCCTGGACTACATAGCAAGTTCCTTGCAAGCCAAGTTTGAAATAGAAAGGTCCTATCTCGAACCAATTTAAAAAAAAAAAAACCACACATTTTTTTTGGAAGTTCACCTTTTTTAATGTTGTACAAAAATGTATGAGTAGAACAAACAATTAATGAGCACTGTCACATGTTTACACCACTATCCAGTTCATATTAATTTACTCTTCAAATAAAAAAGAGGTGACAATTTAGGGAACAAGAGAAAACCAACAATTCTCTACAATTCTTCTACGTGTTAGCTGTGCTCACAGAGACGGCTTCATTTCTTCTGTGCATGGATTCAGTTGTATATAAAATTGAACCTGCTCAACAGCTGAGGAAGACTAGAAATGATGGGTCTGTATCCTGGTGCATTGTCATGCAATTCAAACAATGGTGCAGCTACCAGCTTATAATTTTTCCGGACTGCAAACAAGGCTTTTTCTTGAAGCTGAACCAAAAACAACTTATGTTCCTTCGGCTTTGTAATATGTGCGGGAATATATGAATACTGAGGAGGTTCAAAATTTGGTCTCCACCAGTTACCAATGCAGTCATCGATGACCCAGTCTTGTAGGACTCCAGCTTGACGACCCAGTATCTCTGTCATTAAGCGTTTTAGTCCTTCAACTTCATCTTCTCCTGGATTAAGTTCACCACCAGCTAATTTGAAGAAAGTTGTTCACAGCTGTAGCAGTAACACATGGGGTAGCCGGTGCTCATGTACAATCAGAACCCCTTCAACAGTATAATTGGTAAGTAGGGTACAGGTTAATGGCGCGCTTGGTCTGCTGGATGTACTTGTTGCTGAACTGGTTGACCCCCCACCACCGGAGCCAGCCCGTCTGCGAGCGATTAGGCGGCACTACAGACACGACAGAACAGCTCCGACACAGGTGACCAGCGGAGACGTCCGCAGGGTGGGCAGTGGTTATCTGTGTCCTGCTCAGCAGCAGCCGCCCGCCATTAACAGTGGAGAGCAAGAGCAAAAAAAAAAAAAAAAAAAAAAAACATTTTTAAAAGGAAAAAAAAAATCTTTACTTGATAAACTGAATGGAGTTTTTTAATATAAATTTTATTTAAATTAGAAACAATCTTATTTTACATATCAATCACAGTTCCCTCTCCTCCCTTCCTCCCATGGGCCCCCACCGACTGCCCCATCCCACCCTCCCAACCACTCCCCAGGGAGGGTGAGGCCTTCCATGGGTGATCATCAAAGTCTGTTAAGTCATTTGGGAGAAAGCCTAGGTCCTGCTCTATGCATCTAGGCTGAGAGAGTAGTCCTCCATGGGGAATGGGCTCCCAAAGTCCATTTGTACACTAGGGATAAATACTCATCCACTACCAGAGGCCCCATAGACTTCCCAGGCCTCCTAACTAACACCTACACTCAGAGTGCTTGATTCCGTCCAATGCTGGCTCCCTAGCTTTACGACTGGGGTCCATGAGCTCCCAGTTGTTCAGGTCAGCTGTTTCTGTGGGTTTCCCCAACATGGTCTTGACCCCCTTTACTCATCTCTCCTCCCACTCTACAACTGGATTCCAGGAGTCTAAATGGAGTTTTTACTTTTTTAAAACTTGATTGATTTTTTTTCTTGGCTTTCTGAGAAATGAATAGCTTCTGATGCACAAAAATGCAATATTCTCACATTGCTAAATTTCTAAAGCAGACATGTTTGTTTTCAGTTTGCTTAACTTTTTTTCTGAAACCAAGTGTCTTATATTTAGCCCAGGATATCTTTAAAATGCCCTCCCTCCAACCTGAGCATCCCAAGTGCCATGACAGGTTTGCCCCATCAAACTTGGCTCCTTAAAAAAGATTTCTTTTTATATCGTCCACAATTTATTTTACTACACAAGTAATAATACTGCATATTCTATTGGAATGCAGTGCAATGGTTCCTAATAGGTATATGTGTGTGCTCATCAAATGTGTGTAATTCATATTTCCCTGTCTTTAAATATTCATCATATCCACGTGTTTGAGGAAGCTTTCTGGTTTATCTCTTCCATTATTGTTTAATACTACTATACAATGAAGTTGGTGCCTTACACAAACTAGGCAAGTACTCTACTATTAACCTTCATCCGCCTCCTCTGCCTCCTGAGTGCTGGGATTAAAGGCATGAGCCACTATGCCCAGCACTATGAAACATTTTTAGAAACTTTATGCCCCAACCCAATTGTAATAAGAAGGTAAAAATGTCTCAAGGATAGGAGAACAGGTAAAACATGATTGGGAATCATTCTTCTATTCATTTCTTCATAGTGAGAGCTCCTCTGGAATAATTATCATGTCCACTTTTCTATACCATATTTTAGGAAAAATATTAAGTGAGGCATATATTAAAATGATAAATTTGTAGATGGGTAAATGGTTCAGCAGTTAAGACCACTTGATATACCCTAGTTTAGTCTCCAAATCCACATGGTTGCTCAGGACCACCTATAGCTCCAGTTCCAAGGGTCCTAATGCCTTCTTCTACACATGTGGTGCACTTAAACTCAGACAGGCTTACACATAAACACACAAATAAAACTAATATATCTTTTTTGAAAATGATAAATTTTTGTATCTTTAAAGGTAAGCCCTTTGCTCAAATAAAAATAATATCAAGACAAATTGCCTTCTATGTATTTATGCTTATGCTCATAAATCATAGCTGCTTTCAGGTTTGCTCAGAGAATCTTCTTATTGCAGCAGGCAATTACTGTAACGAACATTAACTTGGAGCACAAAGTATTGTGAATAAGGAAGGGGCTATTGAATGCTCACTCCTAAATAGGATATCATTTCACACCCACCATGGGTCCAGAAATTATGGATGAGGGAGCAGAAAAAAACATGAGATGGAGGAAAAGATGTATTCGTGTGGAGTAAATTCAGTTGTAATTACCTACATATGGATTGGCCCCTCAACATTTTGTTGAGGAGTGATTAGGAGTCTGTGAGCAACCCCTTCTACTCTCTGAAGAGTAACAGTTGCTAGGAGGTGGGACTTATGAGGCCCCACCCATCCCTAAGGACCTATAGTTGTACTCTGAAGCAAGGAGAGGTATTTACTTTAACAGCTATTCTCAACCTTCCTAATGCTTCCAACCTCTAATACAGTTCCTCATGTTGTGCTGACCCCCATACAATAAAATTATATTCATTGCTATTTCCTAACTTTTTCAACTGTTATGAATCATAATGTAAATATCTGATATGCAGAATGGACTTATGTGACCCCTGTGAAAAGGCCATTCGACTCCCACAAACAAAGGGATCAAAACCCACAGGTTGAAAACAACTGCTTTAGAGATATAAGCACTGGTAAGGGTCCATTCAACTAATGAGAGGCAGAAAGTGGATTTGGAGGGGAGAGGAGTTGAGGAGCAGCTGGGAGGAGTAGAGAGGGGAGGGAACTGTAATCTGGATATATTGTAAGAGGAAAGAATCTATTTTCAATAAAAGGGAGTGGGAGAAATGTACCTTTTACCTCTTGTATGGTCCCTTGTTCACCCTTTGAGATGTAACATTGGAACTTTTTTAAAAATTAGGTTTACCATATTTTATAGATGTGAATGTTGTGTGTGCATCTATCTATTTGTACTACATGCAGGCCTGCTGCCCTGGGAGGTGTCAGGTCCCCTAGAACTGGCATTATGGATGTTTGTGAACCACCGTGTGGGTTCTGGGAATCAAACCCAGGTCCTCTGCAAGAGGAACAACTGCTCAAAACCATCGAGCCATCTCTCCAGCCCCAAGGATTACTGAAATATCCCATGTTTTCTCTACCCCTGCTCTGGAAACTCAGGGCCTTTCCTACCCAGGGCTCAGTGGGCTTCCTAGGGCAGTTCTCAATAGGTAAGTGGTACAGAGGCCAGGTGATATGGTCAGGGTTGCCTTAACAGAGGGTTTGCTTAGGCTTCAGGCTCTAAAGTGGAGCACAAAGGGGTACGCAGGCTTTCCAGAAAGGAAAGAGAGCTGATAATGGAGTGTGCCACCGTGGCAATTCTCTGGAGCTCCCTTTTCTTCCCCCACCTTGACCTCATCTCAGCCCTAGATAGCAAAAGCTAGCCAGCACTAAGAAGAACGTAATGGGCATTCAGAAACAAGGGCACAACTCTGAAATCCTAAATAAAAGTGTGAGAAAAATGAGCATAGCCTTTCCCACAGTGAAGAGCTAAGCGACAGTGTTACTGTCTGCCACGCGTACTGTGCGAGAATGAGACACAACACCTGGGAAATGGGAAGGAATCAGGAAGAAGTGTGTGCATGGTGCAGGCAATGTTGTTTAAACACAAGGCCAGAAGGATCCACTGAGTGTAGATTCAGGTCAACAACAGTTGGAAATCCCTATGGGACACAAGGATGAGAGAAGTCTATCAACAGTCTTTCAAACGAAGAATTCTGGGCTAAAGTTGTGATGAAGACCAGGGATGGGACAGTCCTCTCACCAAGTGCCATTGCACACTAACGTGAAAGCTTCACTCTGGGGCTGATAAAGACATCTTTCGGTCCTGGGAGGGGGCGCGGGGCGCCGGTTTGCCTGCTTCCTTCTTTGCTACCTGCTCTGCTTCTTAATTTATTTCCCACTGGTCCCGCCCCCAAGCCCGAGACACCCGCGGTGAAGACTGTTCAGATTGGGGACTGCAGGCAGGACCAGGTGGTGTGGAAATGTAAATAACGCAAGTATTTTTGCCTGGGGCCTTGGTCAAGCAAAAGCTGAGAAGCCACGTCAAGATTCTCTAGGAGCCATTGTTCGACAATTACATAGTCAAGTGATGTAATAATGGTTCTAATGCTGGAACGGCCTCGGAACGGCCTCAGACTAGAACCGAGAGGAGCTCGGAGTGAGTGATTCCCCAGACGCTAAGACTAAAGATTTTGAAATGAACCCCAAATATCTCAAAGGTCGTGAATATTTCAACTTCTCTTCAGGATCATCTCATGCTGAGAACATACTCCAGCTATTTAGTGACTTCCGAGACAAGAAATTATTCACAGATGTCATCATATGTGTGGAAGGACAGGAATTTCCTTGTCATCGAGCAGTCCTTTCTGCCTGCAGCAGCTACTTCAGAGCCATGTTCTGTAATGACCACAGGGAGAGCAGAGAAATGCAGATTGAGATCAATGGCGTTTTTGCTGACGCTATGGAGTGTATTTTGCAGTATGTATATACTGGAAAGGTGAAGATCACAACAGACAATGTCCAAAACCTATTCGAAGCCTCCAGCCTCTTTCAGATTGATGTTCTCTGTGATGTGTGTGCCAATTTCTTAGAGGAGCAACTTGACCCTTGCAATTGCCTAGGAATCCAGCGCTTTGCCAACACCCACTCACTCAAAACACTCTCTGCAAAATGCCATACCTTTGCATTGCAGGCTTTTGAAGATGTGACCCAGCATGAAGAATTTCTTGAGCTTGACAAAAATGAACTTATTGATTATATCTGCAATGATGAACTTATTGTTACTAAAGAAGAGATGGTGTTTGAGGCTGTCATGCGCTGGGTCCATGGAGCTGTTGAACATCGAAAGCTGCTATTACATGACCTCCTCACCCACGTCAGGCTCCCTCTCTTAAATCCTAATTACTTTATTCACACAGTGGAGGTGAACCACCTGATCCAGAATTCCCCTGAGTGTCATCAGTTGCTGCATGAAGCAAGACGGTACCACATACTTGGCAATGAACTGATGTCCCCGAGAACTAGGCCACGCAGGTCAACTGGCTACTCAGAGGTGATCGTTGTGGTTGGAGGCTATGAAAGACCTGGAGGATTTAACCTTCCATATACTGAGTGTTATGATCCAGTGACAGGAGAATGGAAATCGTTGGCCAAGCTTCCAGAATTTACCAAATCAGAGTATGCCGTCTGTGCCCTGAAGAATGATATTCTTGTTTCAGGTGGGAGAATCAACAGCCGTGATGTTTGGATTTATTACTCGCAGCTAAATATCTGGATCAGAGTTGCTCCTCTAAATAAAGGCAGATGGCGCCACAAAATGGCAGTCCTTCTGGGTAAAGTGTATGTTGTCGGAGGCTACGATGGACAAAACAGACTTAACAGCGTAGAATGCTATGATTCATTTTCAAATCGTTGGACAGAAGTTGCACCACTTAAGGAAGCAGTGAGTTCTCCCGCCGTTACCAGCTGTATAGGAAAATTATTTGTAATTGGCGGAGGACCTGACGATAATACCTGTTCTAATAAGGTTCAGGTTTATGACCCAGAAATCAATAGTTGGCTGCTTTGTGCAGCTATACCAGTTGCCAAGAGGTGCATAGCAGCTGTCTCTCTGAACAACATGATCTACGTTGCTGGTGGTCTGACCAAGGCCGTGTATTGTTATGACCCAGTTGAAGACTATTGGATGCACGTACAAAATACATTCTCTCAACAGGACAATTGCAGTATGTCCATATGTAATGGAAAGATCTATATCCTGGGTGGAAGACGGGAAAATGGTGATGTTACAGATACTGTTCTCTGTTACGATCCTGAGACAAGTATTATCTCAAAGGTAGCTGTAATGCCCAGACCTGTATCCTATCATGGATGCGTAACTATTCATAGGTATGATGAGAAATGCTTTAAGTTCTAAACCCAGGTATCTCACACAAGAAATCACCAAAATGAAGAGAATTTTAAGAACTACCAATTAAAAACAACTCCTTTGTAACAAATGCAAAAGGAAATAAAGAAATAATTCTGATGACTTTCTGCCCATATCCATATTTTAAGCTGTAATAAATCCATTGCTTATCTGGGGGGTGAAAGATATTAAAATAATGGTGGTTAAAGTCAGGCATAGTAGTAGTGCACATCTTTAATGCCAGCATCCAAAAGACAAAGACAGGTAGATTTCTCTGAGTTTGAACCCAGCCTGGTCTACATAACAAGTTCTAGGTCAGCAAGGGTTACAAAATAAGACCTTATCTCTAAAAAAAATGGCCTATCAATATATTTTTGCATCTGTGAAAAACTATGTGGGGTAAGAAATGACACCCAGCTGTAAACTTCTTAGGGATTTGTGAACTGTCTTTTTGGAATATGTATTTCTTTTTTTGTCAGTTAGGTAGAGAAAATTTGCCTGACTTAAGCTTCATTTAGGTTGAATTGCCTGATATTAAGAACATTTAGAATTCATTGTGAGGGGAAGAAATGAGTTTTAAACATCTCTGTCACTGACTTTATCCATACTGGTTAATTTCATTGAAGGTTTAAGAGAGGGAAGAGGGATTAATTGAGCAAGGGTGTTCACCATCATTATAGGGAAACCCACAGAGACAGCTTGCCAGAGCTTGTGGGAGCTCGTGAACTCTGGATGAACAGCTAGAGAGATGGCATGGGACCCACATAGGTCCTCTGGATGTGGGTGACAGTTATGTAACTTGGTCTGTTTGTGGGGTCCCTAGCAGTGGGACCAGGACCTGTCCCTGATGCATGAGCTGGCTCTTTGAAACTTATTCCCTATTGTGAAAGGTCTTGTTCAGACTTAATGCAGCAGGGAGGAGGTTGGTCCTGCCTCAGCTTGATATGCCATGCTTTGTTGATCCCCATGGGATGCCTGCCCCCATCTAAATGGAGACAGAGGATGAGTGGATGGGGGCTATAGAAGGGAGGTTGGGGAAGGAACAGGAGGAGAGGATTGAGGGAAACTGTGGTTGGTATTGTAAATTGAAAAACAGATTTTAAAAATGTAGTGACAATTCTCCTATGACAAAATACCACATTTTATGACTTTATAGACTTTCTCTGATATTGAATACTTTTTGAAAGTTTATGTAGGAGATATAACACTACGGACATTTAAATGATACATTAGTCCCTGGAGAAAAAAATTAAATAACTATCAAAGAAAAAAGGTGAACCACTTTGGTTCTCAGGGTATTTAATGACTCATCTGTGATTCCACTAACAAAGTTTATCCCTTAAAACTAACAGAGCAAGACAAGCAATGTTGGCACATGCCTCCCAGCACTCGGGAGGCAAAGGCAAGTAGAGCCCAAAGTTCAAAGCCAGCCTCTTCTACAGAGTAAAGGATAGCCAGAGCAGTTACACAGAGAAACCATTTCTTGAAAAACCAAATAAAAAAAACTAACAGAGCAATTGAAATCCCTTTCATAGAGATAGGCAAGTAATGCATACCTGTATCCAGGCAGGTAGCACACACCTGTAGCCAGAATATGTATCTCAGGCAGATGGTACACGCCTATATCAGGGATCTGTATTCAAGGCAGGTAGTCCAAGATCTGTATCCCAGGCAGGTAATACACACCTGTATCCAGAATATATGTACCTCTGGTAGGGGAAACATACATATAACCAGGATCTGTACCCCAGGCAAGTAGTCCTGGAACTGTATCCCAGGCAGGTAGTACACACCTATATCCAGGATTTGTACCTCAGGCAGGGGGTACACACCTGTATCCAGGATCTGTATCCCAAGCAGGTAGTACACACATGTATCCAGGATCTGTTTCCGAGGGAGGCGTTACATACCTGTATCCAGTATCTGTACCTCAGGCAGGGGTACACACCTATAACCATGATTTGTATTCCAGCCAGAGAGTACACACCAGTATCCAGGATCTGTATATCAGCCAGGTAGTGCAGGATCTGTATCCCAGTCAGGTAGTACACAACTGTAACCAGGATCTGTATCCCAGGCAGATAGTACACACTTGCATCCAGGAACTGTATCCCAGGAAGGATCTATCCAAGATCTGTATTCAGGATCTGTAACCCAGGCAGGTAGTACACACATGTATCTAGGATCTGTATCCCAGGAAGGGAGTACACACCTGTAACCAAGGTCTGTATCCCAGGCATGTAATACCCACATGTAACCAGGGTCTGTATCCCAGGCAGGTAGTGCACATCTGCAACCATGATCTGTATTCCAGACAAGTAGTACACACCTGTTTCCAGGATCTGGAGGGTGAATCAGAAGAAACCAAATTGGGACTGAAGAGATACTTCAGTGTTTAAGAACACTTAACTGCTTACACCAGGCTTTTTCTTTTGGACCAACAACCATCTTTCAAATCATGACAAAGTGACTTATTATGGATGCTGGGGATACCTTTGGCTTGTTTCTTGTAAATTAACCTGTTTGTCTACTTTTGCCTTGGGACTTTTTACTCTTCTTTCCTTCTGTATATTTTTCCTTTTAGTACTTCTCTGTCTGGTGGCTTCTTAGCTTGTCCCTCTATTTCTCTTTATTCTCTACTTTCTTCTACTCTCATCCTCTCCATTGCCTAGATGTCTTCTGCTACTTATTCTCTCTGACTGCCAGCCCTGCCTATCCTTTCTCTGCCTAACTATTGGCCATTTTGCTGTTTATTAGACCAGTCAGGTGCCTTAGGCTGGCAAGGTGAAACAAAATGAAACACAGCTTTGCATAATTAAACACACATCTTTACGTCATTAAACAAATGCAGCATAAACAAATGTAATATCTTTGCCCAGTTAAAGTAATATTCCACAACAACTGATCTTTCAGAGAATCCTGGTTTGGCTGTGGCACCCAGATCAGATGATTCACGAAGGCCTGTAATTCCAGTTCCAGAGAATCCAGTACCCTCTGATTTCCCTGGGCACCTACCGGCATGCGGTGCACATAAATTCACACAGACACACAATGTACATAAAAGAGATAAATACTCTTTTTAAAACTGTGAGCCGGGTGCTGATGATGTGCACCTTTAATCCCAGTACTCAGGAGGCAGAGGCTGTGAATTTGAGGCCAGCCTGGTCTACAAAGCGACAAAGAAGAAACTCTGTCTTGAAAAGACTTTTAAAAATGTGTTTTGTAGGGCTGGAGAGATGGCTCAGCCGTTAAAGGCTAGGCTCACAACCAAAAACAAAAATGTGTTTTGTAATACTGTTATAAAAAAAACAAAAAACAAAAAAAAACAGGAACAGGTTTGCCCCCTGCTAAGCCCAGTAGAATTTGACTAGTTTGGAGTTTTGTTGGGTACCTCTTCTCTACCCTGATTCCTTAATGGCCTAAAGAAGACTCTGCTCTTCTCAGTGGGGCCACTTGTTTGTAAATCAAGTCTGAGCAACACTAGCCAGTAGCAGTTCCAGTCTTCTGAGAGAAATCTCTTATTGTGAGTTGGTGTATTGATCAATGTTTTCAAATTTCTATTCATTTTTTTCCTCTGGTATTTTTCACCTCCCTCTTATAAAGCTTACCAATTTTCAAAGGGAAATGTGAATTTTTCTTAGAGATATAAGTGGGCACAGCAGAAACTAGTCTGACTGTCTGAGGTAGCTTGCTATGTTTAACTTCCCAGTCATCGTTGTCTCTCCCACTACTCCTTGTCAGTGACTATACTGTCATCAGATTTCTGTTAAAAATTAAGATAATAATCAAAAGCCCAACACTGGCAAACGTTTTCTTCCTCGTCTTAGAATAATACACACATTTCTTAAGAGTCAGTACTTAATTGGAATCTAGAAAGAAAAAAAAAAAGGTCTTTCACCATAAACCATTTTGTGTGGGTAAATAATAAAGCCACCAATGTTAAGTAGAAGTGTAGATCAGCAGTAAAGCTGACATATCTGTCCTACTAAAAGCCCTGTTTCCAGTTCCTGCCTCAAGACAAAGTAAGCTAATAGCTCTGTGAAACAATTCCCGGTTGGAGTTATTACTGCAGCTCAAGCTCATAGGCGCCTTGGAAAGTGAACACAACAGTCTCTCATCCTTCCATAGGTGAGATCTGGTGATGCAAACCAACATGAATCATCTTACCAGGGAATTGGCCTGGGCATAGAAACTGGTTTTGGAGTTCAGTGTGACTCCAGGAATGCTAAGAGAACAGGAGAGGATGGTATAGTAAGGACAACTGAATGTACCTCTGGTTCAGTTCCAGCTCTCAGGGAATAGGACAATAGGCCATTTTCCAAGATGGGGTGTCATTGGAGAGGCGACTGAAGGTGAGAAAACCCAGAAATAAATAATGATGACAGGAAAAGAGACCTCTCCAGGGTGCACAGGAGAGACTGGGTCAAAAAGGAGGTGGATCCACGGAGAAGTGTGGGCTATCAATTTATTCTCCATGGAAACAGAGGAGAGTAGTGAAGATTTGCTTTTTTCTCTCTTCCTGGAAACACGTGGTTATGTTTGGATCTTCAATCACAAGAGATAAACACAGAGAAGGGGGACTCACAGATCCTTGTCAGGACCGGAAATATTATTACTAGGTTCCTTCCAAGAGATAGAGTACCCTGCACTATTCCTTCTCCTCCTCCTCCCCACTTACACTCCCCTCTTTTTCTCTTCTTTCTTTCTTTCTTTCTTTCTTTCTTTCTTTTTTTTTTTTTTTTTTTTTTTTTTTTTTTTTTGTCTCCTTCTGACTAATCAAAATTCTGTAGTGCAGAAAGAATTTGGTTTTGCCTAGGCCTCCTCTCCATCAAACCTTATGCCTAGTGCACATCAATGTTTTGTGCCTAAAATATAATGAAAACAAAAGTCTGCTGAGACTATTGATACCAACCTCTTCCTCTGCCTCTAGGAAGGTGGATTTTTCTGTGAGTTCAAAACAAACCTGTGTTCAGGGAGACCAGTTCAATCTTATTCAGGTTCCCAAGTTG